TTGCCTTGCATTCTGCTAAGGATCCCATGATCTCCCAGGTCTTCAACCGGGTGTGGAGGGAGTGGCCGTCCGGCAGTCAGGACACTGAGTTCCAGGCTTACAAGTCACATCAACACAAACTGTCGGTTCACAAAGGGATGTCTACTTTGGGGGAATCGCATGGTCATTCCCCCCAAACTTCGCCACAGGGTGCTCGAGGCTCTTCATGCAGGACACCCAGGCATTGTGCGTATGAAGGCTTTAGCCCGCAGCTATGTCTAGTGGCTGCGGTTGGACCAAGAGCTCGAGAGTTGGGTCCAGACCTGCCAGCCATGCTAGGAATCATGACCAGAGCCACCACAAGCACCAGGCCAGCACTGGCAAACCAGTCGTTTGCCATGGTCCCGCGTGCATGTGGACTTTGCCGGCCCGTTTCAAGGACAAGTCTTCCTAATCGTAGTAGACTCTCTTTTTAAATGGCTGGAAGTTATACCAATGTCGACCATGACCTCAGCGTTGGTCATAAGGGCATTGTGCCGCATCTTCAGCACGCATGGTCTGCCCGGAACTATTGTGTCCGACAATGGGACACAAGTCACATCAGCAGAGTTTCAGAAATTCATGGGAGCCAACTTGATTTGTTACGTCACAGCAGCACCTTTTCACCCATCCACCAATGGGCAGGCGAAATGGATGGTGTGCACAACTAAAGACGCCCTGCGCAAGATAGTCTCTGGTGACTGGCACCAGAGACTCGCTGATTTCCTGCTGCAGCAGCACATAAGGCTGCACAAGGCTACCGGGAGGAGCCCCGTGGAACTTCTGATGAACCGCCGCTTGTCCACAATGCTTGACCGACTGCACCCGGACCTAACATCAGATCGTCCGCTACAGCGAGAGGTTCCAGAGCCTCTCCGTTCCTTCAAGCCTGGCGACCTCATCTATGCCAGGAACTACAGTGACAGGCCAATGTGGATCCCGACTACAGTGACCACATCCACTGGACCCATATCGTACGTGGTGACTACAGCCGAGGGAAGAAACCGACGCCAGCACCTTGACCAGCGAAGGCAGTGATGGGCCAGAGAATCAGAGCTAGCGGACACAGATAACCAACAGGAAGAGTCACGCTCCATACCACCATCTAATTGCAATGCTCCCCAGTCAAATTGCAGCATTACACAGTCAACTACCGAGTCGGAGGCCGTAGCACCCCTGATGCCCAGCACTGAACACAGGAACCCTTCTGAACTGACACCATTTCCTGACCCTGAGAGTTCTAGCGCTGCGGTTCCTGACTGCACTATGGACATGGACAACAATCCCACCAATGTCAGCAGAGACCCTGCCTTGCCACCTGGGGAACCCTGGCGTTTCCAAAGAGTACGGACTTACCCAAACTATTTGAAAGACTGTGTGTGCTAATTTAGGGGGGAGGAGTGTTATGTATTTGCTTATTTGTGTTGCCTAAAGTAAACTATCTGGAGCTTCAGACACAAGCTCCATAGACTCTAAGGATTCTAAAGTCTGCAGTCGGATTGGTCGCTGTAGCGTGACAGACCAATCCAGAAAGACCCTGACCTTGGCGGGAACAAATCCCATTGGTCCTAAGCTCTCTATCGTGATTGGACATTACTAGGGTTTGTGACCTTGCTAGTTTAAAATGTATAAAGTTGGATCATTATATGAGTGTTGTTGTGTGTTCTGAGCTGAATAAAGAAATCACTTGTTCAAACACTGCCCCAATCTCAGTATATAACATCCCCTATGTTCTGAAATAAATTCAAGCCCCCTACTATGTTTGCTTAAATCAAGCCATTACTATCCAGTCCAAACAAGAAGGCCTTAAAAGAAGTTTCCAGAATATGTTCAGACCAAACTCTTTCCCAGGGAGTTAAACTAAATCTCCCTGATTCATCTACTGGAGAGTATGTATATGGAAGAGGACATTCCTATCTGGATGAGGAACTTAACACTAGGCACACAAAATGGCTGTCTGGTCATTAACTGCTGTGGAGGCTGGGGCTAGTACAATTTTCTTTTACACACGGCCCCCAAACCAAGCATTTGTGCACACAGCAACCAATGCAGATTGCATTGGGGCCTGTGTGTAAAGAAAATTGTACTAGCACCAGCCACACAGTAGTTCTCAATCTCTGTCACTAGGTGGCACAACTCACTTGGTTTGATAGAGGGCTGTAGCTTCATTTTTAGCATTTAACATTCAGAATGCAGGTTTCTCTGAAATTCTGGTGTTTAGGATAAGTTTTTTTGGTTTTACATTCTAAATATTGGCAGGAGGTGCCTCCCAAAAGTGGAAGTCACCTCTGGCTGAGAGAGAGAGACAGAGCTGTATATTCCTTCAGTTTTTACAGGTATGTGCGGCCCCCATGTGGCAGGACACCCACTAGCTGACTGTTCAAGTGGAAAAGGGGAAACGTTTGAGGGAAAATATCATGTACATATATTTGCCAAGTCATTTTAATATACTGTACTGCCTGTTGGAGCTGCGGTGGCTCAAGTGGTTAAGACGCTGAACTGCAGGCTGTGGAAGGTCAGTAGTTTAGCAGTTCGAGACCCAAGTTGCCGCATGATGGAGTGAGCTCCCATCTCTAGTTCCAGCTCCTGCCAACCTAGCAGTTCGAAAGCAAGACATTGCAAGTAGATAAATAGGTACCACTTTGGTGGGAAGGTAACAGCGTTCCGTGCGCCTTGGTGGTTAGTCATGCCGGCCACATGACCACGGAAACTTCTTCGGACAGCGCTGGCTCTTCGGCTTTGAAACAGAGATGAGCACCGCAACCCTAGAGTCGGACTCGACTGGCTTTCGAGCAAGGGCACCTTTACCTTTACCTTTTACTGCCTGTTAGGGAAGGGGGACAATCACAAGAGGTTATTGGAGAAATTGGAGGCAGAAGACTGTCCCCCCCCCCCCAAAAAAAGGGCATGGAATCTCAGTGTGAACTGCAGCAGCCTAAACTGTTGTTTAACAGTTCTTTAAGCATAGGATAAATTGGCAGTGAAATTACTTACTCTCAATCTCACCATCTCTGACAGTTTCTGCAAAACAGGCCGCATTGGGGCATCTGCTAGAAATGGATTAGCTGTTGGAGTCACTGCTTGTCTGAGATGTTGAATGTGTGAGTGTTGTGCTATGCTTGACAAATTAGGTAATGGAATCAGGATGTGGTTTAGCATGTTTTCACCCTGCCCTTTCATCTGGAGACAGTGACAGTCAAGATGTTAATTTGATAGACAGTGACTTTGTGTCCAGCCTACTGTGGACCACTACTTTCAGCTGGACTAGCTGGAGCCTTGCAGCCCTCAGTTATCCTGCCATCTTTACCAGGATGAGCGAATCAGCTTTGCATCATGAGTCATGTTCTTCTTTTGTGTTACATTGTCATATGCCGGCTGCTTAAACCACAGCTAGTTAAGAATGTCTTTGCAAGTGACTCAGGGACATAATCCCCCCAAGAGTTTGGTGTAGTGGTTAAGTGCATGGACTCTAATCTGGGAGAACCGGGTTTGATTCCCCACTCCTCCACTTGCAGCTGCTGGGTGACCTTGGGCAAGCCATAGTTCTGTCAGAGCTGTTCTCTCAAGGACAGGTCTGGAAAGAGCTCTCTCAGCCCCACCTACCTCACAGGGTGTCTGTTGTGGAGAGGGGAAGGGAAAGGAGACTGTAAGCCATTCTGAGACTCCGAGTAAAGGGTGGGGTATAAATCCAGTCTTTTCTTCTTCTTCTCCTCCTCCTCCTCCTCTTTCAAACTGGGACTGTAGTCAACACAAAAGTTAATTAAAGAAGCAGCTGTTTTATATAGGAGCCGCCGCCACCATTATTCCATCAACGCTTTTTCCATCACCGCACCCTTACCACCACTGGTGCGGGTATCATCGGGGGTGCGAGACGTACCTGATGGATGACAGGGTTGTGGGGACATATACGGTCATTGTATTGTTATAACATCTGTAGAACACCATCTTGATCTTATGAATTGGAATGAGTAGTAGAGCACCGATATTTTATTAATTGTATTATGGCTGCGGTCACACGGAGCATTAGGCACGCTAGAGAGGTGGAAGATAGGCGGATTTTCCGGGCGCGATCTCACTGCCACATCTGGGAAGTGTAGAGCTCCCGTGGCTCACCCGAGGCTTCACTCTGAAGATGCGGGGTAAAAAACTAGTACCTCCGAGGTACTAGTTTCCGGAAACCGCAGGGCATGGGCGGGCGTCTGATCGCGTTTCCGGTGGTAGTTCCGGTGCCCGCCCATGTCCCCTCGCAAAAAGGTTTTTTCCCCCCAAGTCTCCACAGATGCGCACAAGCACCCAACGGAGCATGCACACACTTTAGTTTTTAAAAAACCCCACAACCCCGTTTGCCCTGCGGCCCCGCTTCTTTGCAGTACCACAGGATTGTCCTGTGATCGGCACCTCCCCCCTAACCATGGGACCTCCACGGGACCTCCACGGGACGTCTGCTCGTGCAACCACACGTTATTTTGCCCCGGGGCAAACAGCCATGCTTCCCCCCCGCATTTTCCTGCCCGTGTTGTATATTGTACTGTATTTTTGTACTGTTCTTATTGTTTTTATCAGGCGTTTTATGCCCTTGTTAGCCGCCCTGAGCCTCCGGGGAGGGCGGGATACAAATCTAATGAATAAATAAATAAATAAATAAAAATAATCAGCCTACCAAGATGGCTATTTTTATTAAATGATCCTGCAGATTTCTGTGTCTGTGAATGGAAAAACAAGACACTTCATTGCCAATATAGACTGTAAAGCACCTAAGCTTTTCTCCTGGAGGCAAGAGGACAGCCAGTATGGTGTAGTGTTCAGAGTGTCTGTTAGGATTTGGGAGACTCGGGTTCAAATCTGCACTCTGTGACATGAAACTCCCTGGGTGACTCTGGGCTGATCTATCTCATGCTGTTTGAGGTGTTTCTTTGACGTTGGAGAGAGACAAACTATGTATATTCATTTCCTTGTTGCAGATATTTATTTATTTATTTATTGAGTCTTATCCAGGGTCTCAGCGGTCCTCAGCCAGAAGACACAACAGGCCACACTCAAGAATTCTGATGTCACAGGGGGTGAAGGGCACTGGCAAGTGGGGACGGATCAGCGTAAGCGGCAAGCCTCCCGCTCCGATTCCAGCAGCGTCAGCACATCTCCTTCCCGGACTGGGCCCTTCACATTGTGGATGATGGAGCGGCTGGTGTCATCCATGAATTCCACTCGTACCTGTGTGCACTGGCCTTGCGAGCCGGTCCGGCCGAGCACTTTGGTCACGCGGGCCAGCTTGATAGGCTGCACGCGGCTCGTGTCCATGGCAGCGGCGGCGGCAGCTAAAGCCCTTGTTGCATATATTTATGACAGGCATTTAAGAGAGTGGAGTTGTCCATCTAAGTGATATTTTACTTGAGCTGGAAAAACATAAGATAGGCCTGCAATGCAAGACTTTCCAATGAACTTCGATCATTTCCCTCTTATTACTGACTGAGTTCCTTTGTGTATTGGTCTGCACGGACAATGGAACAGCACAAAACAGGGTTAACTGCAGTTAAACCCATTGAGTTTGACTCTGCCTGTTTCATACATTACTGTCAGCGACAGTGACCCATGTGGTGGAAGAGTGGGCGACCCTCCTGCTCCTCCCTCCCTCTATGAGTGAGCTAAATGCTCCATTCAGGGGCTTGAATCTCAGCAGGTGGGGAGGAACTGAGTGAATGGGGCCCCTATACAGCTGGGTGTTGGCACAGAGACCTATTGTTTTTAACTTGTATGTCCCACCTTTTACACAATCAGCAATGACTTGACATGGATTAGGGAAACTAGTATGCACTGATCCTCATGTGATCGTAGACTGAGTGGTGTAGTGGTTAGAGTGCTAGCCCTTATATTAACTTTTTGCAAATATTCATTTCACTCTAATTTGGAAAGAGAGACAGCCGTGATTATAGGCAATGCAAGAAAAATGATTGAGCACAAATTGCTTGGGTAGAAAGACCACAGACAACATGGAAAATGTTTTCTGTTGAAGATAAATTTTTCAACTCTGTTCACTGTCAGGTAATTTCCGTATACAGTGGTTTGCTTGGCTCTGTTCAGGATGTGTCTCTTTGTGCTTCAGAGTCTCTCTTCGAGATGAGGAAGATGTAAATCATTCTACTTACAGACACATCTGCAGGATCTGACCATAAGTGATACAATCATTCCCTGTGGATTTGTGCTTCTCTTCATTAACTGTCTAAGTCAAGGCTCTTCTCTCTTTATTGTAGCATTAGTCTGTTATCCAACTACAGTGTCGCTCAGCCTGTACTAATGGGGCCACAGTATGCAAGCTTTTGTCAACATTCCATTTATTAGTCAGACTGGTAAACATATATATAAAAGAGGTTAGAAGCTATGAAATACCCTTCACCATGCACTTTTCAGCGAATGTAGCAAATAAGCAGATTAACATAACAAAACCTTCTCAGCAGTAATTGTAGCTTTGCAGACAAGGCTATTGACTGAGTGAAAATAGAATACGTGGGCCTTTCCTTGGTGATGAATAGGTGGAACATTGCATTAGGTTTTTCACTTATAGGCTCATAGAAGAAATTGCACCCAAACAGACAAGCTCTTCTATGTACTCAGAAAAATATGCTGAAAGTCTTACATTTTATCTGTAACTGGAAATTACAGAAGAACAAGAGGAGAGTTCCCAAACTCCATGACTTGACTAAGCTCTATCCCATGTCAAGTTTTATTTTTTAAAAAGCTTTGTATTTGGTTTTTAGGGAGGGATAGGCACAAACTGGCTCATGAACTAAAGTTCGTGATGAATGTTGGCTGGTTTGTGGTTTGCAAACTGAAGTTTATGGCAAGTCAACCAGCACAAATTTCCATGAACTTTCAAGCAGTTCATGGAGGTTCGTAGTGGTTCATGAATGGATACATTCGCAGTCAGACTTTCTCTGCTCAAACAACATGTTTACCAAACTTCAAAGCAAGGGTGGGGGTGGAATTCTCCAGCCTTGGAAACACTCTTGTCAGTTTCAAACTAGTCTTGTCAGTTTCAAGAGGGTCCGCCCCCCTGCAGGTCTTCCTTTGTGTTCCCTTCCCACTTTCTTGCACAGAGCTTGCAACCCTCTCTCTTGGTTGAATTTATTGTGACTCTGTGCTTTGAGAGCAGTTTGTGATGCCAGTGGCACTGGGTTTTGCTGGACATTCTGCACATTGTAACTGGTTGTGCTGGGGTTGAAAAAATGCCTCCCCTCATACTGCAGGGATTCTCTGGCTTGGCATTAGTCCTCTTTTACTTGCATTGCTATGGCAGCATTGGAACATTGCACTGGTTCTGCTGAGCTTGCAGCCCCCCCCCCACCCCGGCTTGGTGTGTGAGTCTGTGGTAGACATCAGTCCTGTTGAGCTGACATTGCCACAATGGCACTGGATTCTGATGGGCACTCTTTGATCACACTGGTACTGCTGGCCATTCAGTACATTGCACTGGTTCTGCTGTGCTTGCAGAAATGCTCACCACCATGTTCAGTTTCTACTGCAGAGATTTTCTGGCTTGACTTTAGTCCTGTTGGGTTTGCACTGCCACAGTGCCACTAGTTCTACTGGGCACATTGCATTGGTTCTGCTGGGCTAGCAAAAATGTCACCCACTTCAGTTTCTACTGCAGAGATTCTCTGGGAATTGGATTCTGCTCTGTTGGGCTTTAATTGCCCCTGCTTTTTTTGCTGTTTTTTCCTCCATTGGAAACAATGGAGGATGGGGGCACCTTCTTTTGGGGCTGTAACTTGGAATTCTTAAATCCAATCATTATGAAAATTGGAGGGCAAGTAGAGGAGAGTCAGCTGGAGATCTCCTATGAGTGTGGTGCTCCTCGCATGCTGGGTGTGTGTGTTCTACCATGTCACAAACCTCATGAACTGAACCAGTTCATTTGGGGGCTAAAAGTTTGTGGCGGTTTATTGTTCATGAACAGGGCATTTTCCTGGTTTGTGCCTATCCCTATTTCTAGCCCACCACCAACACCTCTGTCTTATCTGGAGGCTCAGTATAATGCAAATAGGCTGCTCCTTGAACCGTCAACCATTCCTCTTGAGAAGCCAGGAAGATGTGGCCTTGTGGACTGTTTCACAACCGTCTGTTCCTCTGAGGCTGTTAAACTCTGATAATGGTAATGCATTCTTCTTTTTTGTAAATTACTTTGAGAACAGTTTTTAGTCAAAAAGTGACCAAAAGAAAATGTAAATAAATCCAAAGTTGTTTGTAGCTAATCCATTATCTCCTTTGTAGGTTATATTTGTAGCCATCTTGCAAGTCCATACAATTCATTTATTCTCTGCTTCTGTGTGCATCTTTCAAGTCAGATAATGACTAATAGCACCAGTAAACTGTTTTGGAAAATGGGGAGGCCAGGGGAACTCTGTGGAGTCTATTCATCCTCCCCAACTAGTTATCTATATCACTCAGTTGGATCAGGGGAGGAACTTGTATGCACATCAATTAGTTGTACATACGACTTCTTGTCCAGCAATGGAAGCCTGTACACAGACGCCTGCTTCTGGCCATGTTCTCCCTTGCTGAGTGCAATCTGTACTTAATGTTATGCAATCCACCTGTTTCAGTCACATTGACACTTTCAGCTGTCTCTGGTGTGTGCCCTCCATGTAAGCAGATTGCTAAAACCATCATGAGATACTTGACAGGAGTTGATATCTCCTGATTTATATGCAGGCTTCACACATCGTTGCTATCAGCTCCATAAATGGCAATGCTACTGAAATACAAATAGGCCTGGTTGTCTTCACTGCATACCTGAGTACTTAAGGTGTGTAACACTTTGCAGATGATTCCAGCAGCATGGGATATGAGCAGCACTTGGCTGTGAACACCATTTGCTGCCAGCTCAGGTCTTCCACATTGATCTGTGAAAGACTGAAATAACAGCTAATGAGCACTTGGGTTTTTTTTTTCTTTAAATGCATAAAGCTCATTAAGTTCTACAGCTGTTGTTTAACACTTACTTTCTGCAAGTGAATGCCAAGAGTAACAGATATTGGAATTCAGAGCAGCTGAGTAGCTTCTGTTGCTTTTATGGCAGTCTGTGTAGCTCACCTACTGTATTTTCTAATGAAGGGGGGAAAAACTCTTGGCATTTTATGGACCTGTAATCTAATTATGTAGAGTAGTGGTGAATCTCTTATCTTTGCAGTTGCTGACAGAGCAAAGTGTTACAGGAAAAGACGTTCTTAAGATGGGTTGAAGAATAATACAAGGCATGCCACTGTGTTAATAGCAAAGAGAGCCTTCCATGTAGGCAAAAACATGAAACCTGGGTATAGACATGTATGTGCAAAGCTTACACATATTTATTTCACTTATTAGCAGTTTGTTTTCACTAGGTCAGTATATAAAACTGTAGTTGTGGTCATCTACCTATTCAGGGGTAATTTCGTAGAAAAAGAGCTAGGGGGACTCATTAGCATAACTCATTAGCATATGCCACACCCCCTGACATCACCGGAAGTGTGTCCTCCCCACAGCCGGCGGCGACCTCCAGCGGGCACCAGCAGGGAGCTCCAGGCCCCACCCTCCCGCACCTCCCCCGGGGGGATGGCGTTCCCCCCCGCATCCCCCCCCAAATGACCCCTGTACCTATTACATTTTTATTCAGTCTCCCTTCCAAGAAGTTCAAGGCAATGCAGATGGTGTAGTGGCACTTATGAAAGACTATGGTAATCTGAGGAGTTAGTGGTGAAATACAGTTTCTCTGTTTGTGCCTAAGATGCTCTGTGGGCCACACCTGAAGATGTTACAGGCATTTTTCCTCCTTCGATATGCTTTTCTCTCTTAATATTCATTTCTCTCTTGTTATTGCACTTTGGGAGTGGGTTGTTTTCATATTCACAATGATGCACTTGATAATAGAATGTAGGATGTATATAGGAAACTTGCCACACCACAGCATTTACCAGATGGCCTCAAGATGTATTAGTCCCCTCCAAGGTCAGTTATGGGAAAACACACTAACATGCATGCAAGTGAATATCATGTATTCCTGAACACTATATAACCTCTGGAAACTGCCTCAGGAGCAAACCTCAGAGCAGGCTTAACTGCTGTGCAGCACTGTGCAAGCCGACCAGTTCGAGGGGTCTGCTCGCCGTCACTTTTTGGAGTTTCTCACCCACAGAAGGAGGCCTAAGCAAATATTCTCTGTTTTATGATGTTGATTTCTTTTCAGTGACTTATTAGAGAGATTTCAATAAAACTTGTCTGTTCTTTCAGCACTTGCATGTTTATTGCCTCCAGATCCCTTATTGGAAAAAGAACCT